AAGTTTTAAATTTTAATATATATTAATTTTTTTGAGTATATAATTGTTTTAAAAATATTATAAATTATATCTATTTATTTATTTATTTATTTAATTTTTTTTTATTTCGAACAATAACGATTCGAACACGAACGAACGCATCACTGTTCGTGTTTGGTTCGTTTAACAAATCGAACGAAAAAACTTGTTTGTGTTCGTCTCGTTTGCTTATCGAACGAACCGAACACGAACACTCTGGCGAATCGAGCACGAACTGTTCGCGAACAACGAGCTTTTTTGACAGCCCTAGCCTCAGTACCCTTTATAACGTCACTGATGTTGCCGGTGGAGACATGGATCCTTATACGTCATCGATGTTGCCGATGGAGACATAGATCCTTCACTAAGTAATAAAATTATTACTTAGTGAAGAATTCAATCACTATATAAATATTTTAAAAATTATGAGTTTACATGAATAAAAGATTTTTTCACTTCATAATTTGAATAATATAAAATTTATTTTAATCTAAGGGGTGTGTTCTCTATAAGGGCGAGCCAATATCGATACGTCATCAACAAATTTTTATCATCTGACATCACGCCTCGAATCTCAATACAATTATTTCAATAGAGAACATTTAAACCTCAATCAAAAAATATCTGGAACTCTGATTTCAACAAACTTACAGTCAATCTAACTAGCTCGATGAGGTAAATACAATGATACCATAGCTTGTTTAATTTAAGTCCAATCTAACCCAGATCGAAATGTTGAGCCATTTTTAGAAGCTTATAATATCAAATTAGAAGGTCAAATGATTTTAAATATGACAAGCTTATATTCAAAGCGAGCATCTTAACGTGATGAATCCAATGAGCCCAAAATCATTCAATTATGATACATCTAAGACATTCAAATGTCTGCAGAGTACTGTTTGATCAAGTGTATATCTCTGGATCGTCTGATGGAGTAGTCTAGATGATTGACTTAGTTGTCGGAATGTCTCTCCCAGACTCTATAAATAGATCCCAACCTCATTAATGAAGAAGAGAGAGACCTCGACCTTCAAATGGAGGAAGCTCGAGACTTGGAGGAGAATGAGCTGAGCTTCAAATTTCCACACTGAAGATCCAACAAATGTCACCATCTCTTGCAACAGGTGACAACCATCAACAATCCTTGGCGTCCACCATTTTCCTTAGTCGAACGCTTCTTGTTCATCACAATGAAGTCCATTGAGGAATCATGACGTGTGCTGCAGAATTCTAATATATACTACCAATTAACGAAGCACTGTGCGAAGTAACTATCAGTCTCGTAGAATAACGAAGCATCATACGGAGCAATGCATCCTAATGATAGTGTAACAATGTGCTTGGGGTTTAGGGTGACAAAATTTATATTCTAATTGGATACACTTCTAAAATAGGATCAAATATATAGAATAGTTGGACTAAATTTTATTTCTCAGTGCGAGTGAAGCATCAAAGTTTCACGTTATTTTTTTTTATATTAAATTTGAGCCTTCTGCACATATGTTAGTGTTTATATTAGTCTAAACTTTGAGGCATTTGGTGAGAAAAGTCCCCACCTTCTAAGCCTTTCCTTAACCCTGTGTTTTTGGAAGATAAGTCATTCTTTTTCAATAAAACGATAACTTCAATTTAAATAAATCTTAAATTTATGAAAATAAAGCTTAATCATCGTTTAAAGTAACAACGAGTTTATTAATATATGGTGGTTCTTACTCTTTCATCTTTGATTTCCAATAATAATTATTCTAAAATTTAACCTCACCCTAATTAATTTTTTAAAAGCGATAATCTTATAACTAAACTTCATGACGTATATAAGCATGAGAACCACTGTTTCGATCAATTTTCTTTTTTTAGGAAATGACCTCTTTTATGATATAATTGGCTATATTGTTTATCCCCACAGGGGACACATATCTAATAATAATATAAAAACAAGGGTATAGTTCATATAGACCAATAAATTTTAAAACTCTTGAACAGTGATCAAATTAATTTATAAGATATTACTATATTTCAAGATAATATCTTATGCTTAAATTTGCATTTGATCACTTAAATAAAAAATCTTCAAAACTTATGGAAATGAGATGTCCCTTTAATCCTCATGGATGATTAATTTAAATAATAGGCATTTTAAAGTTTTTTTTTTTTTTTATTTCAGAAATTAATATCTTTATTTACATTTGTTTTAAAGCTTTAATAGCGTTCAAAACCAACGAGAATATCAAAAAATATGAAGTTTTCATTTAGAATATCATAACTATATAAAATATACGAACCATTAGCTATATAGATGAAATCTCATTAATGTTACCTATAAGCAAGTAAGGACAACCTTTTCAAATTTTTGAATATTTTTTATTTTTATTGTATATTTTTATTCTAAGGTTTATTATTTTATAGGCTTGGTATTTTTTTACTTTTATTTTAATTCTAAATTATCTCAAAATTCTACTAGTTTTACATCTAAAATTAAAGGTATAATTTTGAATTATTAAAAAAATGTTGAAGGATTTATTAACTATTTATTCCTTCGAGAAAAATTCAAACTAATATTAAAAATATCTCAAAAAATTATGAGATTATTACTCGTAGATAAGGGCAATTAGAGAAATATCTGTTAAAAATTTGATTTTATTTGGAATTTTTTAGGATTCGTTAATTATTATAAATTATAAAATTATTTAGAATTCATATAAAATTAAAAGACAATGATGATTCATAGAAAGGTTTGAAAGGTCATTCCAATACTTCTATATAAATTAAGACTATTTGGAGTTTACATTTCTTCTTTGATATATTTTATTTACTTAGATCTAAAATTTTATAAATTATTTTAGCAATTAAAATATCTTTAATTTTAACTTTATTTGACTTTTTATATTTAGAACAAGCAGTATATATATGACGATTTTTAGCATTTTATTTTAATTTTTATGCTTTAAGTCAAGTTTAATTAATGAATTATTTAATGTAAAATTAATTCATTGAATCTTTTTTGAAAATATTTCAATAATTCTACTATTTGATGAGTGCAAGTGCCATTCACCCTTGAATCATTCTAATATATTTTAAAATTTTTTATTTTGTATTATTATATTATTTATACTATCTTAATCTTCAATTAAAATTATTTATGAAAGTTTAAATCTCATTTTATTCAATTTATCTCTAGGAAGTTAGCCTTAGGTTATACATAACCTAATAAAATTTTAGGTTAGATTTGGTTTAAATTATATTTAATTATAATACATAAATAAATAATTAATTACCCAACTAGTAGCTTAATTTAAATAAAATTAATTAATTAAGATTAGGTATTTGTTTTATTTTTAGTTGATAAAACTTAATTTGTTAAGTTTATAACATTTTTCTTTTATTTTGTGATTTTTTAAAGGTTTTTGTATCTTCTTTTAATTTCCTTTACCTATGGTCACTCACTTCTTTAATTATCTTTAACCTTTTTTTAATTATTTGCATATCAATGCACCATTCTATGCATCAACTTATGATTAGTACAAGACGCTCTTGACCGCACAACAATTTAGATCAATTGTCCTGTTAATTCAACTCAATCTCAGTCATTCATTTCATTAATTAAATGAAATGAATGGTGAATGTGTCAGTCAATTCACCTCTAAATGCTTGGTCCCATTGATTCACCAATTAAAACCCTATTATAATTCACTAGAAATGATCAAGGACTAAAGTTAAAACTAGCCTATGGCTAGATCTTCCAAGTAAGATTTACCACGTCTTCACTAGCCCTGAGATGGAAAAATATGAGTTAATACTAAAGCTTAATGAGTATTCATCCAAATTGAATATTCTTTCTTGCCCTCGTCTACTATTTTCAGTCTGTTTGGGACAACTTTACCTTATCACCTTATCACCTGCAACTTAACTACCCTAGAAAGCTAATGCGCCAAAGTTGTTTGTGTGTTTGTTTTTTATAGTTTAAAAATAATTTTGCGGCAGCTATTTCTGAAAAATGATCATTATACACATATATAGTAATATTGTTTGTAACATAATATAAAACTACTTTTTTTATTAAATAATTTTAAAAAAAATAAATTAACATTAATTAATAATTAATTAATTTTATTATTTAAGAAAACGTATATTTTTATTAAATAATTTTACACTTAAAGATATGTTTATAAATTAATTTATTAATCATTAAATAATAATATATAAATTTATGTGATTATGATTAAATTAAAGCCATAAACCCAATGTCTTTCCCGTGCCCAAAACCCCTCCCCTCTTGGTTTCGCCCAAAACCATGTCCTTCATGAACAAGCCCTCGCAGTATAGTCGTGATTAGAGCAAGCTGGGAAGGCAACGACAGGATAACAATGTACAGAGACCATCGAAACTCTCATCTCTCTCATTCTTCCACTTCACTCCTATCAGAAACCATTGAGGAAGGTAAGCCTGTTTACGCCATTATTTTTCTTCGCTCTTCCCTGATTTCTAAGAGAGGGGTCCAATGCTAGGATCAAACGGAAGAGGGGTAAGATCCGTTAAAAACAAACCCCTCGAATGCGGGCCGCGGGGGTTTCCATCCACGGCTGTCGTTTAACCACAACGGCAGAATGTCGCGGCCCAGACGCCGTCCCAAACCACCACAAATTGCAGCCAGCCGCCATACCGCGGCTTGGACGCCACACCAAATGCACCCTCAATCAAGCCAAATTAAGGTTATACATATTTTCTGATTCAACGAAAATATTTAAACAGAGTTAGTTTTTTTATTATTATTTTAATTACTAATTAATTTAATTTATTGATAATATTATCTTTTAAAAAAAACTATTCCATTATTCATTCATGGAATTCGACAGATCAATAAATAAAATTTTAATAGAGTATTCCTTTCATTATTTCAGTTTTTTATCACTTAAAGAAATATAAATGATGTATCTTCGATTGAAATTTCTCACCAAACATAAACTTTAATACATAAACATATGAAAACTCAACTTTTATGATCCGCCATATCTACCTGCCTCTTTTTTTTGTCACAAACTGCCGAAAGTCTCAAATTACATAATTAACTTCATCAATTTACAACAGAAACGTTCGCTCCAATTACGTACAGCATAATATAGACAGACGGGACAAGTAGAGAGATCAGATATATAGCACACCAAACAATCACAAAATAAGGAAAAGAAAAAAACAAAAAGCATGAATCCAAAGAGGAAGTATGATCAGAAGTTGAGATCTGAAGAGTAAGCATCAGATCTGCTGCATCAGTACTTGAACTACTTGGTGATAGCATAGATGGCATAGATGATGCCTGGTATGTATCCTAATATAGTGAGAAGAAGGCAGATCCAGAACTCAGCCTGCACAATAACAAACAATAAATAATTCCTTCGTCTATCAGAAAACTAAAAAATCTTTTCTGAAAAAAAGAAACTACCTTGCAGCCAAATTTGAGGAAGACACCGAGTGGAGGGAGGATAATAGCTAAGAGTATGTCGATGCAATTTGCTGTTCCTTCTGACATCTTTACACTGATCAGAATCTGCAGCGAACTGAGAGAAAAACGAAGGGTGGAGGAGGAAGAATAACTGAACGCTAATCTCATCGAGGAGAGCTGTTTATATACAAAGGGAAAGTGTGAATGGACACGTGTGCAGCGCGTGACAGCCGACGGACGCGTGGCTTCACTGTTACATATCTAATAGTTGAAGAAAATCGTAATTTGAATCCTTGTGTAATTATTTTTGCTTTGAGGAGATGGATAGATGCTTGCCGACAGCTCAACCATATAATTTGTCATTTAATTAAATAAACGTGCCCCATGCGACCCATTCCCATTATTTAACTTAAATAAGATTGCTAAAAAAAGGGTATCAGGAAAGAGATGTAAGAAATAATTTAAATAATATAAACAATTATTTAAATACTATATAAATGATACAAGGATGACGTAGAAATGCAAGTATATATAAGAAAAACATAAATACTTCTTAGCAAACTAATTATTAATTCAATCGTGTTGGAATCCTGTAATTGTATTTAGACGGTGAGAATATTTTGAATAAGCTAATTAACATAAAGAAAAAGGTTGAAAATGTAAGACAAAGGCTAAGACGCATAATCAATCAGGAAAGTATATATGAATTTAATGTCATTTTCAGCAAATTCTTTCAACCAAGTTCATTTTCCACGCATGCTATGTAAGGGTCTATTTGGGGTAGCTTTCTCTGGTTTGATTTGCTTTTTAGACCATCGCCACAATTATATTTGAAAAATTGTATTTGTTACCCTCTATTAGAACTTTATGTGGTTGAAAGTTGTTTTTTTTTTTTTAACATGAATTGTTAAAATGTGGTGGCTACCAAATATGCTATTATTTTTTTACTATAAAATAAATTTATAATAACTACCGCGGCTTTTTGAAAAACAGTTTCATTTACAGTAGTTTCACAGTTGTTCATTCAAACATTTGTTGCTGCCCCTCACAAACTCTAGGTCCACACTATAACTATAACAAACATCATACTACATTATTATCAGATAAGGTTCTTCTACTGGGAGAGAATAAACTAATAAAAATCAATGAAGCATGAATTGGGGAAGGCAGCGAACATCTTATGTGAATAGGGACTTGTATTGGACATGCTCTCAGAATAGGATGTTTTGCCATTACAAAATAACTGCTTGTTATCAGTTGAATTACTGAGTGATTTTTTCAGTCTATAATTTAGCAGCTGCAATATTTGTGACTGCTAACTTTAATGGTTAATTAAAGATAAATTGTTGTTGTGTAATTTAGTGTCGGACATTTCAATTGTTATTTGATGATTGTTTACCAAATCACTTAAAATTAATCGACTAGTGACTAGAATTTCAATCACTAAACTGTGCAGTTACAATTTAAATCGCTAATCAATAGTTAACGGTTGTTTACCATATCACTAAAAATAGCTAAATAATGATAAAAATAAATTGCCTATGCTAAACTATGTGGCCACAATATCACTCATTGATTCATCGTGTTGAATATGAATTTGTCCGGGAGACACAACTGAGGAATAGAGCGTAAACAGGAAAAAGATATATAGTGCACAACAATAAGTCGTTTGATTACCCTTTTATTGCAGAAATGACCCCCTTTTTAATCGGCATAGGGGGTACCAAGTGTACAATTACATACTTACCCATGCTTTGATGAAGGTGTTGCGAGGTATCTTAGGTATTTGTGCATAAATAGACTTATGGCCTGACTACCCTATCTCTCGGTCGTCAACGTCACTTAGCTATTGGCCTTTGACAAATCTGATTAGAAGTAGAAACGAGTCGAGCCAAGCAGGACCGTGCCAAACTCAAGCTCGGCTTGTCGGACTGTCGGCACTATTTTTGGTGTGGGGCTTGCCCGTAAGAAGCTGTCGGTGATCGGAATTGAAATCCCGTTGCCCGCTTCGGAAGGACATTTTAAAAAATTTTAATTTTGAAAAAGATGAAGTCAAACTGACCCCATAATTTTCATAGTTTATATGAAAGAGCGCTCTACCTCAAATCCTGTATCTATCCCGAAGGATAGACACAAGAATTGAGGGTGAGGCTCGATCAAATAAACTAGAGAAAGTTATGACATCTGTTTGGTCTGCGAAACCAATGTATTGGCCGACAAATTCCCCTATTTAATATAAGAAATTAAATAGGGTTTATATTATGCTGGGTTCGGGAAAAGCTTCCTATAAGGGCAAGCCCCTATAGTTAATTACATCATAGATAACTGAAGTTACCTAAGAATACTCTCGATAAAAATAAAAAAAAATTACCTTCAAGGAGTTCAAATGGTAAGGACAT